GTTTTAAGATTTAAAAAGGAAAAGGGGCTTTGCTCCATGCGGTAAATTGTACAGGAAATATGTGTGTGTAAAAGTGATTTCAATTACAAATAAATGTCACTGTAATTTTCAGCACTTTTTTTGTTTGTTTGTTTCTTTTTTTCAAGGACCAAACAAAAGCCAACAGTTAAATAAATACATAAACAGGCCTATATAGCTGTTAGATAAACAAATCTGTGTTTGCAGAAATTTAAAGAGTTGGGCCTAATAGTAATTTAAGATCATTTAGATTATTTGCAAAGTAATAAATAAAATTAATAAATAAAGGATAAAAAAAAAGCCAACTGCTAGAAAAGCAAGAATAAACTGAATTTATAAACAAAAATCCCAGCAGGCCAGTCTGTTTTAGTGCAGTAAATACAAATAATAAAATATACACACACTATTATTTTTAGCATTATTATTATAGCATTTGCCACGTCTTATATTTGTTGATTCACACATGGGAACTAAGTAAGTGATAAGCAGTGTTCGTAATAAAAAATTTAAAGCAAAAAAACTGAAGAAAAAAATATTTAAGGCCTTGAGACTCGACATAGCAGATGTTTAAACTTCTGTGTGAAGGACAGAAAATATTTCAGCCGAAGTGATGTTGTCATTTCTGGTTTAAGGCTATGATCTGGATGGCCGCGGGCAAACACAGGCAAAGAGATAGAAAGGACAGAGGAGATAACCCCAACTGTGTATCTCCTGGACGGCGCTGCCACATTCGGCCGACAGGCGGCGCTGCAAAACGGCAGAAGCGAGCAGAGCACACACAGACAGGGCCAGCCATGATTCTTACTACAGGAGCAATTACACTGGGGACAAATCCTTGTTCTATTGTTTGAACGTCAGGCAAAGAGTGAAGGGTGAATCCATCTTAACTAAATTAACTTTGTTTTCCAAATTAAAACCTTTTTACGAAGGCAGAGATGTCTAAAATATTATTTCATCTACATTTTTATTCATTTCTAATATTCTATTTCTGTAAACAGCAAACCGAGATGTTTTCAAGGAAATTAAGTATAAAATAAATGTTATACAGAAAACTTAGTTTATTTATTTTTATTGTGCTATTTGTATCCTTTATGTTGAAGAACTGGAGGCCAATGTTGACCTTTTCTATTTACCACTGCTGACAGTTTATCTTTTGGACTAAAACTAAGATGGCTTGGTGGCAAATTTAATGTGTAATTTGCACCCTTCATTTGCATTTGACAGTAATTTATAATTTCAAGGAAATAAATAAATTGCCATGGCAAGATACATGTTAACCATAATTTGTTACTTTGTCATTTTAAGAGGGCATTCAATAACCAAATGGGCAGTCATGCTTAAAATAAGCTATTGCAAATAGAGTGCTGGAAAAAGTGGGAACTTGACTGTTGTATTTTTTCGTGTGTTTTTTTGACCATTTGCAAAAATAGAAATTAAAATTAGGACCTTGTTGACAGGCAATAATGTATCCAAAACATGTTTTCTGAATAATAACAATAAACCACTTAATCTTACTACTAATACTAATGGAAATGTAGATAAAGACTCTGTTTATAACACATATAATCACACAAAAATCTAACAAAAATCAAAAATGAAATATTTATTACAGCATTTGTGACTGAACACCTTTTAAACATTACGTCACAGTCCTCATACAAGTATTTAATGTATTTTTGACAAAGCTTAAGGGAGACGGCATCTTATCATCTAGTGAGGAACACGTGCTGAAAAAGGAAGGAATTCATGGACATACAATATCAATGCCACAGCAGATCTGAAACTAGCAAAAACATTCTTTTTCAATTGAGGTAAACACATAGAATATCTAACATGAAACAATTAATAGACTGAACTCTGTACGAAGTTTGTTACAATATTCTCTCAGCTTTTTTCCCCCCAAAAGCATTGAGTTCATAATTTAAGTTTTTTGTTTTTTTTTT